AAGCGGGAAAAGTAGATCGGAGAAGTGCCAGCACTTAGGGGCTCCCTCGGTTCCTTACATGCTGGGACATTTTGTCCCCCCAAATTGGTGGGCAAGCGATAAAGAAGTGACCAGTATTTCTAAAAATGGACAGATGGTCTCAAAAGTTCTGCGGGTTGGGCGGGCTTCGAAGCATCTGGTCATTTATGGAATTAGAACATTTTCCTCCCTGTGGTTCTTCTCAGCCTTCCCCATGCAAGGCTTCCCCTCCAGGGACTACAGTGAGAATTCCACAGCAGCGTCTCCCATCCACACAGAGTAGAAAACAGACCTGGAGTGATGTCGTAAACCAAAATTGGCCGTTTTACAAGCGAGGTAAAGCATAAAGATTAGAGTCCAATGCTCAAAATACAACAGGAAGCCAAAAGGCTTTTCTCTTCTTTTTCTCCCTCCTTACTCACACCTTCCTTCCTTTCTTTCCATCATCCATCTCCTGATGGGCAATAAATCAGGACCTTGGGTGGGTCGAGGCCCCATTCACTCTCCGGTAAACTGAGTCACAGTGGCCCGGCAACGCACTTCGGCCAATGTCAGTGCCACTGCCGAGTTCCAGGAAGGGGCAGGTCGGAAACCTGTTTATTAGTCAGTCCAGAGGTCTGCCAGCTCCTTTATTAAGTTTCCATGTTAAAATACTACTATCTTTAGGAGTGTGGAGACAGAGTTGCTGACCTTAATTACATTACTGTTTCTTAGGAAGCAGACAAGTGAGCAAATAATATAATTGAGCTTTTGGGAAGGGGGTTGTTCTAACAAACTGTCTTAGGAGAACCAACTATCTTTAATAGTGATACTTTACATTTTTGCATAACACTTCTAAAATTGACAAAACTTTTACACATATGCATCTTCATTTATTCACTACCCACCATCCATGGACAAATGTCTGTCTTCATTTTACAGAAGACTAAACTGGGGTTTGACAACACTGACTTAGGTCTCTCACCTCCATCTAAGTGGTCTATTTATTATTCTTAAAATCCTGGCTTTCCCCCAAGCTTACCAGTGGTATTGTGGTGAATTTCCCACCTTGCCTTATAGAGGGATCCTACCCGGGCGATCAGACAACACATAGCAGCCACTCTGTTGACAGTACTTAACAGAGCATCAGAGCCAGAAAAGATTCTAGAGACAATTTCCAACCTCCTTATTTTACCTAGGTATTTAAAACAAAAAAGCTTGAACCCTACAGAGGGGCTGACCTAGGCTGGATCCACAAAACCTATCATGCCAATCTGTGACGATTCTGTCCCCACCTACAATACCACAATCCCTCTTAAGCACAGACATCACAAACAAAGCCAAGTGGAAAGTTAAAGTTAGGACCCAATTAATTCCAGTCCCCACGCTGTCATCATTTGGTGAAATAGAAAGATCCTGTTAACTGTGGACTCCTGAAACATTAGGGGGAAGGGAGCTGGTAGACAATCTGTCGTGATGTTTTGCTTCGTGTATGTGAGAAAGAGGAGGCCTAGAAAGGAAAGCAGAGCCCCCCAGCCTGAGCTCCAGTCTCCCATTCCCCAGCCACCAAGCCCACCTTGTGCTTGGTAGCCTTGTTCTCAGCTGTGCTCCGAGGATCAAGTGTCACTCAGTTTGTCAGAGACACTCAGACTTGAACCTGTGCGGACACAGGTACTGACTCAGCCCTTGCCTTGCTTTGGTGATGGAGACGAGGCACCACGAGTGTAAGCTGCTGACCCTGAAGCTGCAGAGAATGGAAGGTGTCCCCTTGTATCCAAACTGCTGTCTCTCAGAAACAAGGGCGACTGATTCCTCAGACGGCTAGGAAGGGAATTAGGGAAGACAAGAGGCCCCACCCCTATGCTCAGAACGCCCCGCCATTCCCTGCCTCTAGCCCTTTGCTCACAGCTCTTTTCCCTAACCTAGAATCAACACCTGCTCCGCTCCCAAATCTGGTCCTCTTAAAGCCCAAGCCCTGCGCTGGTCTCCCTGCACACACTCTGAGAATCCACCGTACAATTTGGCTCTTGGTTCCGTACTTCTTTTATTGCTTTTTAACCATGTTTTACTGTTTTATACCTGACCCCGATTGCAAAGGCTCTGAGGGGACAGGAATCAACCTCTACACCCTACAGCACATCGTGGAGCGCCACCCAAGAGCAGAGATGAGAGCAGGCTCACAGAGTTCCCACTTCGAGATTCCTTCTACTTTACTTGATGGGCACAGAGAGCAAATGCTCAGTAAATCCTCATTTGTTACAATGTGGCTCCAGACTTTTCAAATGAAAAGCTCAGCGGCAGGGGCCCTGTGCAAATTGGAGAAAAGGCACCCCTCCCTCTGGACAGACAGCCCTGTGTGGAGCATGGGGTGGATTTCGGCAAAACCTCTGTACCACTTGGGCTGGGGCTCCTTGCAAGCCTCACAAAATTCTTCTCTCCACAGTCCATTCTGATGAGGACAGCTGGCATCAGATGCTTCCCAGAAACAACAAAACATAAAAATCACACAAAAAAACACCTGCCATAGCTCCTGTCTATGTCCCTGCCCAGGAAGGCATTTGGAGGTCCTGTCCCGTACTCTCTTCTAATGGGAAGCTCCCTAAGTCACAGTGAGCTGTACTGCTTCTCTGCTTTTGCTTTTTCTCAGCTCAGAGCGTCCCTTTCCTGCTGATCTCTGGGTTAAGTTCCTAGGCCCTTCTCAAATTCCATCCCAAGCCCTATCTCCTCCATGCTGTCCCAATTAACACTAACTGTGTTTCTTGCCACCCCATCCCTCTTTGACTCTCACACAACCCTTTTCCTCCATGGCTTTAGCATGCACCCGGGATCAGCTGTCATGTTAGCCCTCTGTCTACACAGGATTCCGTGTACTCACCATACATCCGCCCAGTTGCTTGATTCCTCACTGCCCAGAATTCCCCAAAGCATCCACTCACAAACCAGGTGAACAATCCTGACTTTACAAATGACACATTTTATAGGCACAAGTACTTGTATAGTCCACTCTACAGCAAACTATCTACCAATCTGCGCAAGTATTTCCATTCTCCAAATCCTTGCTTGGCAGCTCTGTCCTGAGAATTTCTTTCATCATTCTCCCTCAACATGCTCCCAACCAAGGTGAAGCTCCATACTCCACTTTGGTGTGTCTTTCCCATTCATCCCATCCAACTTATTCTCTTCCCATTCTAATGGCAGAACAATTCAACGTTGCCCCAACTCCCACCTGCAATCATCCAGCCCCAGTTCATCACACAATGCCCAGTTAAATACGAGCTCCTCTTCAGTTTAGCCTTCTTTAGAATAGACAGAGAGCCAGGACTGTTTTCTTGTGATACACGAGAGAGTGTTTTCCAACACGGAAGATACAGTTCAGAAGCTCAGGATGGTGTCTTCCACATCTACTCAACACAGTAACCTATGCCCAGGGTCTTGCTCTGCCAAGAACTAGACAGGAACAATTTCAAGCCCTTTCTGTCTGGAGAAGAAAGCCCTCTTTCATCCCAAGGAAGGCCCAAGACTGGAGCCAGAAGAAAGTATCTGAAGATATAGCAGGAGCTTAATAAGTAATTGTGAAATGAATGAGTCACTGAGTGAAAGGAAAACAAGAAAGGATGAAAGCAGAAGTAATAAAGGAGGACCTTCACCAAATGGCTTTCAGTCTAATTTAAGGAAGCTCTGAGAACCAAGCTGGGGGATGGGACAAAGTGTGAATGGCGGGTGGGTGGATGAAGCATGAGCACAGAATTCTGGTTTCAGCTTTGCCTTTGTCACCAGGTGGATCCTTGGGGACGCCCTGAGTCTCAGCTCCTCTTCCATCCCATCAGGCGTGCCTGCAGGTGGCCCGTGTGCACACTAACCATCGGGGCCCTCAGGGCTATTTGACATTCGAGATTTCAGCTTCTTCCCCCAATGCCCAGACACTCAGCCCCTCGGCGCCTCTGCACTCTGCGGAAAGCTTTTCTTGGCTACAGTCCTGGCCCTGGGACCTTCATTGCCTGCTGGCAGAAAAGAGTCCTCAGCTGTGGAAACTGGTAAACTGCACATATTTTACAGATGAGCGTCTAAACTCCTGGTGACTCTAAATGTTGTGTGAAATGGACAGAAGTCATCCTGCTGGTGTGACATGCCTGAAATAGCATCACCACCAACATGCGTTCATGCACGTCATGGAAAAAGAAGCAGCAAAAGTCCCAGTGCCTTGTTAGTGCCACTGCCCCATTCCTCACCCCTCTCTTCCAGACCCCTTTCTGTGCTTTTGTACATCTTTTAAAAGAAGTGGTCTAGGGCCAGGCATTTAGCTCAGTGGTTTCACTGCCTGCTGTGCAAGCTCAAGGACCCAAGTTCGATCCCCAGTACCAAAAAAAAAAAGTGGTCTATTTGTTTTGCAGGAAAACAGTCCAGGGTCCTTTGAAAGTAAAGTGGGGAGTTTAGGAGGTCGGCCCTGAGATTTGACCCATTCTTTGGAGCCCAGCTCTGCAGGGCTGCCAGAGTCCCCACCATACGGGTCTGCAGAGGAGAAAACCTGTTCAGGCTGACCAGCCACCAGTCCACGGCCACCCGACCAGGGTTGTCAGAACCACCACACACACACACACACACACACACACACACACACACACAGGGCTGATGATTTGGATGCTAGAGGCACTGAGTTCCTGGCAAACAGAACTTGTTCATCTTTTATTTATAATTTTTCTCTGATTTGATTGGGATATTTAAGCTAACCTAGACCCCGAGGTTTCTAGGCTGAGAAAAGGAAATGCCCGGGGGGATTTCTCGTGTATTTTGTCAAACGTGTCCTCCAGCTCCGGGTGAGCTGGCCTCTGGCGCCCAGCACTGCTGCGTCCTTTCTGCGCCCCCAAACTCCTGACTCCTCCTCCTCCTCCTCCTCCGAAACCAAAGTGCTGCCAGCAAGAAGCGCCGTCGTGATGTCCGCGCCCAAGTTGCACCAGAGGGACACGGGTTCCCACTGAACGGAACCGCATTGGTGTGTGGGCGCGCGTGTCTGCGTGTGGCGCGTGTGTGTGCGCGCGCGCGCGCGTGTGTGTGTGTGGCGGGGGCGGGCTCTGCGCCCGGGGGCAGGCCTCCGCAGTGAGAGTGGCAGCTGGACTTGCCAGGCTGCGAGGGACAGGGTGCAGAGCCGCAGTGCCAGTGCCGTAGTAGCGGGCGGCCGAGACGAACCGCTGGGGAACCGCAGATCCCCGGGCGGAGGCCGAGGACCCGGGAGCTGCCTGCCCGCAGGCGGGTCGCCCGATCTCCGCTGCGCGCCCCGGGGCTCCCCTCCCCCGCCTCCTCCCCCTCCCCCGAGAGGGCTGCGCGGGCGGGAAGACGCCCTTACGCCAGCTTCGGTCCCCTTTCCGTCTCTCGGTTCCTCTTTCCTCCCAAGTAAGGGAATAAACTGTGAGGAAGGAGCGCCCCGGGCAACCGCGCAACCAAGTGTTGCATGGTGAGGTAAGACTGCTGCCGGCGCGACGGAGGGGGTCTGGAGTTTGGGGGTGGAGGGGAGTGGAGCAACTTGGGAAAGGAGGGCGAGGTAGCAGCCGGCCCCGTGGTCAGGAAAGGGGCTGCAGACGAGGTCACTGAGCCCGCCCTGACTGTACCACCTGCCACAGAGCCGGGTCGGAGAGGATGCTCCTTGGAGGGGTGTGGACTCGGGGCGGGAGGGCCAGGGGGGCTCAGGCTTCCCCGCGATTAGGGGGCCTCGGGTCCCAAAGAGGCGCGAAAGACAGGCGGCGGCGCCGCGGGGGGGTTGCTGGAGCAAGTGGTCTGCTCCGTCGCCTTCCGGACTCACCGTGGCTCTGGCATCCAGCGCGCGGTCCGCGCAGCGAGGGAGGTGCGCAGAGCAGGGGACACTTTCCCAAGTCTCGCCGCCGAAGCCCCGGCCGTCCCGCGGGGTCGGGGGAAGCTGCGGAGCCGGAGAGGGTCGAGACTACCCAGGGCCAGCGTCGCGGGGCGTCGGGGTGGCATCACCTGTAGGGCTTTTGGAAACTCCACCACCGGCGCGCCGGGCCCTGCATCTGCTGAGATTGCTTCTTTTCTTCCTCTGGACGAGTGACCTAGGGTTTGGGGAGGGGGCTGTGGAGTTGTGAGAAGCCCCACAGGTGACTCGGCTGCGCCGCCCCCGTCGCCGCCATCACTGCGGCGGAGAGCTCCGGACGGGGCAGGGGGCGCTGCCCGCACGCGGAAGCCCGGCTGCGGGGCTCGGGGTGGCGGCCTCCTCCCGCGCCCGCCGCTGCAGCGTCGCGAGGGTGATCTGTGGCCGCGCCGCTCGGACGCGCCGGTCGGCTCAGCGCGCCTCTGTGCCCCGGCCTCGCGAGCGGACGGTGACCCCGCTGGGGGAGCAGGGCCTGGGAGGGCTGCTCGCCTTGCTTTCGTTTCGGGGTCTTGGGGGACGCACCGTGGGTCTTGACGGTGTACAGCGGTCACCTCCAGGCGCGACGAGGGCCAGCGGTCAGGACACAACCGGAAACTGCCCCTCTGGTCCGGATGGGGGCGTCGACCTGGTTATTTGGGTGCCTGGGATCCCCTGTTTATAAAATACAGCTCGCAGAGCCACTGGCTAAAGCAGGAGCACCCTCGTGGTCAATGAGGGACATCAGAGCAGAGGGCGCAAATATCGAGGTTTGGTCAGAAATGTTAGCGCGCACACACCCCACCCCCCTTTATGCATTCTGGCCTTCCTGTTCTTCGCTGTTTGTCATGTTAGAAAGGGCTATATTTGCCAGAATTTCTCTGAATATAAACTACACTCGTTAAAACGACTGGTACTCGGCTAACTTCTGGTGTTCCCCCGATCTAAGTCCCTCTTTTTTGCCAATTGGCCTTTAATGTGTAAGCCCATCATTACGGGCGGTATTACAGGTATCTTTCTGGGAGGGCTCTTGGGCCGGAAGCCAGGGCTTTAGTTTTATGTAGTGTTTGGTTCAGATCAACCATATTATGGGGGCGGGGGGGTGGATATCCGAGCAGCTTGGAACGTAGACTCTCAGAGATGGGAGGAACCACTAAGAACGGGTATTCCAGCCTCCCCTGGCTCAGACTCCCGACGCAACACCGTCAACAGGTGGCAAGTGTCAGGCTGGGCTTCTGTGGAGTTCAGCAGGCCGGGGCTGTCCCCAGCTCCTCCTCTGGAAGGGCAAGGAGAAAAGGAAAGGGAAGTGTTGTTTCATTGTGGTTAACTTCTTTTTTAAAAAAAAATCTTACTGTGTTCAACATTATGATATACTCTTTTAATATAAAACTAATTCACGTGCATGAAAGAAAATTTGGGAAATTGAAAAGTATGCAGAGAAATGAACACATCGTCCATGATTCCACCACCCAGATCCCACACTGTTAATATATTGGCATATTTCCTTCCATTTTTAAGTCTTGAAGTCATACAGTCCATAGAGGGCCAACATATGTAGGTAACCTAATAAATGTACCTTTCATGGTGTTAAGCGTTTTATATTCATTATGTCATTTAATCCTCAGAGTTCCTCTGAGATAGGTATATTATTATCAACCCCATTTTTCTAGGATGGCAAAGAGTTCAAGTGACTTACTCAGAGCACACAGCTGGTAAGTGGCAGAGCCATAATTCAGACCCAGGCTGTCTGACCCCAAAGGTCTGGCCACTTACCATCTGGAGCTATTGCTTCTTTGTGGGGTTTTCTTTTTTCTTAATTGGTGTTATAGCAAAAGTCCTCCATGAACATTTATCCACAATAGTTATTATGCTGTTCATCATTTAAGTTGTTTCCTCTTTTTAGCAACTATAAAAAACTCTCAGCAAGGTCTGTACTGCACACAATTCCAATTGCTTTCTTCTTGGGTAGATTGCAGGAGGTAGGATCCCTGGGCCAAAGGGCATGATTGAGGATTCCCAGTATATATGAGAAGCCACTCTTCAAAAGGGCTACACCAATTTAAACTCTCAGAATGTTGTTATTCATATTTCCTGCAGAAATTCCCTGTTGGTCTATTTAAACTATTTTTTATCAAATGCACCTCTATTCACCAGAGGCAGCTCTACCATTAGGGTCAAAGCAGGTGACCCTTAGGGACTCAAATTGCCCAGAAGTTCTCACAAGACCAAGCTACACCACAAGACCACCCCTTGTAGGAGAAGGATTCGTATATCACCCTCCTTTTAACTCAAGGGTGAGTACGGAAGCCATATCATATAAAACTATACCCATTTTTATTTGAGCAACTGTCAGCTGCAGAATTCTTTGACTGGCCAGCATCCTATATTTTGAGCAAATCAAACTATTGTGTAAAACACATAAATGTGCATAGCATCCCACTTCTCCACACAAATAATTATACTAATCTTCACTCCTATGAATGTACATCACTATCCATATCCAGATTCAGCAAACTCGACCAATCAGTAATAGCTTCTTCACATTTCAGCCATAATCACAGTATGCTAGCCATATCCAAAACTGTTACAAAATTCCACAATAGGAGTTGATGTCATCTTATAATAAAGTGTTTGTCTGACAAAAAAAAAAGACCCGTCCAGTGGGGTTTGACTTCTCAGCTGCACCTAGAGAACATGTGCGTACATTTACCTCACTGTGGTAAAATTATTTATTTGCTTCTCCCCCACTAAATGGTAAGCTCCCTGAGGGCAGAAACCATGACTGATTGTTCCCTGTATCCTCTACACATGAGATTTGATAGATGCATAATTGACAATTAAATGTGATGAATAAACAAATAAGAATTTTCCACGTGCTTAATGTGCATTTCTCTTTCAATACATCTTTAATCTGTTCATCTTGATCAGTCTCAGAAATGTACCGGAAATACCTCTACAGTTGTGCTGTCTATTCTCACATGTGGCTCTTTCCAAGGTCATTTACATCTTTAAAATAAAATTAAATTAAAAGTTTAGGTCCTTAGTCACACTGGTCATATTTCTAGTGCTTCAATGCCACTTGTGAGTTTTGGCTACCATATTGGAGAAGGCACATATACAACATTTCCTTGATTGCAAAAAGTTCAACTGAACCACACTGATTAGACAATCAGCTTGGTGCAGGCATGGGGTGTGCCTGTCTGTTTTGCTTTCTATCCTGTCTTCTGTACTAGCATACTGCCTGGCCCAGAGGAAATGGAGGGAGCAGTAGTAGTAAATGTAATAGTAATATTGGCTGTAGCATTTATTGAGCACCTACTCCGGGTCTCACATTGTGCTATAATTGGACGTGTATTGTCTTACTTAATAGTCATGTCACTACAAGCCAGATGTTAACCCCATCTTGTGGAAAAGGAAACTGAGTTTCAGAAAGTTTGAGAAACTTGCTTGTGTTCACAAAGCTGATAGGAAAGGCTGAGTTTAAAACTCACATCTGTAGGATTTCTTTCCTAACTTATTCTCTTAGGTATTTCACTTTATTGCCTCAATAATTGATGTATGTGCTGGTGTTGATGTGAATTACCACCATCTTGGCTTCCCAGGAAGTCAAAGAAAGAGTACTTTTGAAGGCATTTCAAGGGAAACAATTGTCACAGATTTTGTGAAAGTAAATGGCATTTCAAGAATGCAAAAGGGTGCTCAGGAGGACATCTCCCTGAATGAGTCAGATAAGAAGAGAGGAAGCCAGCCCCTGACCAGAGGACTAAACCCTTGGAGAGGAAGCCAGCCAACCACCATCCTCAGGGAGTCCTGTCACCATCTCCCAAGAGCAGTGCTGGCTTGGCCAAGTCCCACCGCCCACGAATGGTCTAAGTTGGCTCTCTGCTCTCCTCGGCCAGAGCCCTTTCTACCGCTCCACCCTGCCTCACAGGCCACTTGCTGAAGCACCCCACTGTCATTGTCACTCTTGCCCCAGTTTTCTCTAATTTCTATGTTCTTAAAGAATAAAACGCAGACTTTCGTGGGAGGTCTAATCAGCACTGAGAAGGATGAGATAGTCATCTCTTTCAGTCTCCTTTCCTGTTTCTGTTACAGCTCTCTAAGTTCCGACTAATTAGGAATCTATTCTATCGACACCTGGTGAGCCTAGCACCAACCAAAACAACCCAGCTCTCTTTTAAATTTGTCTTTGAACTCTTGCTCCCCACTGCCCCCCCCAGCTTGTACAGATGCTATGTGGGGTACAAATATGGAGCTTTGCATTTAGTCTTCATTTTGTCTTGTTAATTTCAGTTTCCTTAGTTTCCTGCCACTCCTGAGTGTAATGAATATGATTTTTTCACATAAGTCGTCAGTAAAAAAATTATAGAATTGTGAGGTATTTCTCTATTGGCTCCCCAAATATATTCAGTAAGCAAATGTTAGCCTTAAAATGTATTCAACATAGTTTACTATCATTCAGCGCATATTCTCTGTTATTAAGAAGATTATCACAGGAGTCTTATCAGAGGTCTTGGTAGATTCTCTATCAATGGTATGTGCTTGATTTGCCCAATAACTTGGTCAAGGAAGCAATTCCATTGGTCCACTATAAACTATT